GGGGGGGGTTTAGCCACTCCCTAACCCGCAAATCGGGTTTATATTTTTCCCCGGGGGAAGTTACAAACCAAAACCAGTTTGATTTTCCTGGCGTGTTTCAAATTCACATTAAATCAATTGTTCTTTCAATATCTTTTTATAGCTCAGAATACATGGCAAATGCAATCATTATATTTGCACTATATATTTTCTATAAATTTTCCCGAAAGTTCTCGAGTTCCGAAGCCCGAGAAAATCCCGAGAAACCCGCAAAATCCCGAGCGCCCGAAAGGGTCAGCCCGAATCCCGCACGAGCCCGAAAAGTTTGGGCTTCGGGACGGGCTCCCGTTGCGACCTCTGTTGCGTCTCTCAGTAGTGCAGTAATGTCAATACATTTATTCCAGTGTGGTGCAAACCAGCGTGCTATGGAATAAATGTATATGTCCTGTCCGTTTCGGATTCAAGGACGGACAATTTCATTTCGTCCGTCCGTTTGCCATTTTGGTCGTCCGAAAAACACCCGAAAATTAAATTTTTGAAACATCCGATAAGCTATTATCACTTATTTTTCGACGACGAATTCATTTCTGATATTGTTTTATACAAACGGACATAGACTTCCTAAGTCCATAAACGGACAAACAAAATAAAATTGTCCGTACTGGAATCCAAAACGGACAGGACAAAACTAAATTGTCCGTCCTTAAATCCCAAACGGACAGACAGAATTAAATTGTCCGTCCAAAAAAAATCACATCTTGGACCAATTTTTTAGCGTTTGATGGACATTTGGCCAAATGAAGTCATGACAACGGTCTTATTTCAGTTTTTATTGTATACTATTTTAAAGCCTACGTTCACAGCAAAAAAATAAAGCTAATGCGATCTACTTATGACGTCTGGTTACAAAGTTATTGCTCCCCAAGTAATGACATATCGATATTTTGCAATATTTTAGCACTACTTATCACATCAGCAGCCATAACTACTCTACCAGACGTCGTGAACAGGTTGCATTAGCCTTTTCAACTACAAACATCAATTTTAAAATGCCATACCGCCAGAACTGAAATATATCATCTCCCATGGTTTAATCTGCTTCAATGTACACCACAACCTCCAAAAATGGGTCCAAAAAATAGATAATTATCTATACTGATATTTGAGTTGTTTATAAAGTTGTTCTTTACGGTATTTGATAAAAAAATTGAATTTTTTGGACCCATTTTTGGGGGTTGTGGTGTACATTGAAGCAGATTAAACCATGGCAGATGATATATTTTAGTTCTGGCTGTCTGGAATTTTAAAGCTGTGGACGTCTGTGCACATTATTTATGAAGGATAAATGTAATAATGACATAAATGTCCTTTAACATAAGCAGTTCATGTGTTTTTTTTGTTTTTTTTGTTTTTATCGGTGTTCATATGCTGCGTTAGTGCACTATACTATTTTATTTTCAACATTAACTGTGGCACAGAAACACTTCGAATTTGCTGTGATGGACAAAAATCTTGTTTAGCTGAACATTTTTGACATCGAACCTAGTGGCACCCATTGGATAAGCTAAAACTGTTCGAATGTTTACGGAAATCTTTGAATCTGTCAAAATAACAGATTAAAAATTTTGTACGATCTTTACCAAACTTTCTAAAAAGACAACTGAACTCAATCATATGAAATTACGCGTTGAATACAGTTTTTTATTCGAACCGTTATATGAATTAATTTTTGACAGTTTCAAATGGGGATCGAAATGATATCTTGAATGATTATGTCCAGAAATGCACTCAAAATATTGCACCGATTGCCAACCCCTATAAAACTCCCCAACTTCACTTATAATATTGTTATACTCACTATGACCTAGTATGGGCATTGCCCTACCCATCGGTACCACACCCAATACTGTACACCATATGATCCAAACCTCATACAAAACGGGACATGGTTCTTTTATTTTATTAGAACTTTTCAAATTTTCTCACATCTGATGGTGCATCATGAAACATTTTGCGTTACATCTAAATATAAAAATAATGATTTTACAGAACAACCGTCTAGTAGCAGCTTGTCTACAACAACATCAAGGTAGTGAATATATCATATTTCGTTTATTCATCAATTTTTGATTTTACTAATATTAAATACAATTTTTCAATGAAGCGTCACATCAATGACCTCTCTTGAGCATGAGAGCAATGATACCTCGGTTTCTGCAAGTGATTACGGAAACGACTTGGCAAGCGATTATGGTAATGATAATTGGGATATTGCTGGTGATATGGACGTAAGTATTTATTCCAGTTGTTCTTTTTTGTGATTGGGATCATATCTATGATTCTATCCAACACTAGTTTTTCTTATTATTTTGAAAAATCGCTTATTAAAACGAATAAAAAAATTCGACATTTTATATTGAATTTTCCGAATTTCACGAATTTGGATGTGGCCATATCTGAACAGGCCAACCTTTTTGCAAATTTCTTCAGTAGCAACTACGATGATTCAACGAGTCAAGGCGTTGAAAAATACTATTTTTGGTGTATTGGCCCAATTTTGGTGTAAATTGCTGAAAAAAGACCCTGCACCGAAGGTGTATTCAATACACCACTCATTTTCGGTGCAAAATATGCTCCGTTCCGGTTGCATGCTCCAAAAACCAATAGCGTTGGAAATACACCGATTTTGGTGTATGAAATGATCTGGTTTTTATTCGATGCATTTTATACACCATCGGTGTAAATTTGGTGTATATCATTTACCACCGCCATATTTTTCGATTATTTACATCGTTTATAAGAAGGTATGGTCAGGGCTTAAGAATCGCACATTCATTTCACAGTACAACTCATTTCAGTGAGAGCCACAGCGCTCGTGTGCGATGGTCTTCTCATAACAACTGAGTTGTATGCGCACACTGCTCACTTACTTCTCCTCTGCTTTGTGCGGATCTTCGTTCGGTCGAAGAAAAAAATAAGAAGAAGTAGTAGTAGTATGTTCAACATAGCCGAGACATGTTTTTTTACTCTGCGTGTCTGCTGTGAGTATTTGAGCGCACATTGAACGGACAGTGATGAACTCATTTGTATTTGAGAACTTGTGAACTGTTCGTCGTCTGTTCGCACACGATATTGTGATGCATTGCGCAGGGTTCACTCTGTGCGATTCTTAAGCCCTGGGTATGGTTGACGCCATTGCAAATGGCTAACAAAAGCAAGAACAATTATTGAAATTTTCAGCATTATTTCCAGGTGAAACCATTATTTTATGATGTTTTTTCGTCACTTTTTTCATATCCTTTTGATTTTTTTTTGCCTTGATTTAAAAATTGAAAAAATAGTATTTTTTTTTTAAATTATAAATGTATACTATACATTATATAGCTTAGAGCGAAAATGTCATACAGAAATGTTGCGCGGAAAAATGTCACAAATAGAGAAATTATCAAATAGAGCAGCTATTTTTTGTCAAATAGTGAAGCTATTTGGTATCATATGCTTGCTTTGACACCAAATATCTCTTCTATTTGATACCAAATAGCTCTTCTATTTGATACCAAATAGCTCTTCTATTTGATACCAAAAATTCGGAAAGTCAATTTACGAAATCAGTTCAAATTCAAAATATCAGCTCAAAATCTTTTGCACAACATTTTTCATTTCACTTTGAAATCTCACTCAATTCGACAAATTTTATGTCAAAATGTCAAAGTGGAGAAAAACGACATAGAGTGATATTTCAGAATGGAATAAAAAGTGCTGTGCAAAATGTATTGAAATATAAATCAAAACCAATTATTTGAATATAGTTTACAGCCGTAATTGGTAACAGAATATTAAAAATTTTCGCGAAGATTCTTTTGAAAGAGTCTCTTTTAAAAAACTCTTTCGATTGAATCAATGGTGGCTCTATCGAGCGGATGGGAAAATTTAAACCCTGTTTGAAGGTTAAACCAAAAACTTTGCCGTCGTTTTTTTATTCATAATTTAACTTTTTTTTTGTTTTTTTTTTCTTCACTTAAATATATATTCAGTTGCATAAGAAAAACTATTCACAATTTTATACTTTTAGACCTCACAAGACCCAAGCAGTCCAATAGCAGCAATGCCATCTACCAGTTTGTCAATAGCATCAAATGCACAGAATTTATCAACGCAGAGAAATATAGATCCACGTGACGAATGGTCGTGGAATGATTGGGGAAGTTTAGAGGAACAACCAGTGAGTAATAATTCTTACAAGTAAACTGACCCAACTGTCACACGTCGATTTTTAAATTGAATATACAGATCAATGGGGAATGAAAAAAAAAATTGACAAAAGGGCAGCGGCCCCTTTTGGGTCATAGTGGGGATATGGTCCCTTCTTTACAATGCTTCGTCTGATGGTTTTTACAAAAGAATGCAATTTTCTCATACTAGAAATGGTTTGAGGAAAAAATATGTCGATATGAAATGTTCAGGATACTCCAGAGAAAATGACACCTTGGGTGGAGCTGCTCTCTACCCCTGAAATGAAATGGAGGGTCAAAAAGTGAAAAAATAGCGAAAAATGAACAATGCATCCCCAAAATAGGGTCGAACTTCCCTTAACCCTCAAAACAAATTACATTTTTGGATTCCTCGTGAAAAATTACCCTTAGGTTTAGAACACTTCCCATCAAAAAAAATTCATCCCTTATGTCCTAATTTAAGGCCGGGATGTTAAACAAATCGTACCCCAAACCTTCCCATGCATTCCGGTCTTGGTCAAGAGTATAAGGGACGATTTTTTTTTGATGGAAAATGTTCTAAACCTTAAGGTAATTTTTCACGAGGAATCAAAAAATGTAATTTGTTCGGGGGGTGGACGGGTTTTTTTTGACCCGATATACAGAAAAAATTGGTTTTTTTCAAAATTATTGTATGAAGACTTCCAAAAGAAGGGCTCGGAGGGGGTGACCCATTGAATATAGTGTAAAATAGATAGCCCAGAAAAAATTAGCTATAGTTGGTCATACATTTTTATGCAAAATTTCCACTCCAAGAGGTAGAAAATTGACTCTGTAATAATTGACCCCAGATGTGGGGCGATTTTTGCCAGTTCAATTTCTGGGAGACTGGGTGCGGAGGGCCGTTGGAAAAATACATATTTCCACTAATTTGGGTATGGAGAATCCAATATTTTGGGTTTTAGGTCAAAAAAGTGTGACCCCTGGGCAGGAGACCTCCCCAAGAAAATATTATGAACGTTAAATCCGAATTTCATGACAGAAAAGAAGACTTGTTGCTTGAATATCATACTTTTTGCATGCAATATCGGAAAAATAGAAAGCGGGATAAATTGATTGAATCAAAGAACAAACTGGTTTCAGAAATGATGTTTTGCAGTTTCTAAGCGTGGCATTTACTAACATTTTGAATTGAAAAAAAATTAAATGCCTTACTATACGTAGACCTCCCATCGCGTCCGGAAACGTCCGGAAAATCGTGAAATTCCTGATATTTTGGTATGACTCCGGATTCCGATTTTTTTTATATCGATTTCTCAGCAATTTCCGGATATTTTGAAATTTTGAGAAAACGTATTGAAAAGTTGTACATTTTTACACAATTTCATTTAAAATTTAATGAAAGTTACTTATTTCAGCACTAGGGTGCTTTCGTCACTCGCGCCTGCTGTCGCCGGCTGTGATTTCAAACCGTTCGAATCAAACACAACCAACATTTCATACAAATGTACTCAATCTACTCACATGCATACCCTACAAGAATTTTGCGACAACGTTTACGCAAACGTATCAGCAACCTTCCGCAATAGTTGTCACAAAATGCATGAACTGTGATCAACTTCATTCGAATTTAGTTTGTTGTATTTTAAAAGGCTGCAATGGCTGATTATTCTCCTTAATAATTATTTTAAATAAGTTTTTATGTCTTATAAGCAACGATGAGCAACATGAAAAGTTTAAATAAAACCATTTGAAATTACGTTTTCAATGTAATGAAGTTGGATACAATTCGAATTTACATGTTTACGCAATGCGATATGTAGACGTTAATTTTGCGTAAACCTGTACATTGAAAATCCTATCGCAATGCGGAATGTCGCGGGTAGGTTTTGCTTTACGGCGACATGTCGACGTAAACCTCAATTTATCGCAAAATAGGGATAGTAATGTAGGGATAGTAATTTATCTGCCGAAGTCTTCAAAATCAGCAAAGTGTATCACCGTGCAACACAAGTTTCTGCACATAAGAAATTCCAATTGCTTGTTTTAGAGGACCAAAAACCAAGCACTTTTGCATCATTAGTTTCTTCGAAACCACGTCTAGATTTTTTTTTATCGATTTCTGTAGTTCTTTTGGAAACCTGAAAAATCAGCGATTTTTGTTTATACTCAAAACATCATTTTTTGCTCATTTCTTGGCTGGTGTTTATTGAAAATGATTGAAAACGATTGAAACTACAATAATACATTGAATTGGGGAAAGAAAAATCGATTTTTTTTGGAAAATTTTGGATTTTTGCTCATTTTTATGGAAAAATTGACTTTTTTTGCATTTTAATCGAAATTTCTTCGCTCTTATCTATTGAAAAGGATAGAAAACGATTGAAACTACAATAATACATTGAATTGAACCTATATCGGGAAGAAAAATCTCATTTTTTTGGAAAATTTTGGATTTTTGCCCATTTTATATGGAAAAATTGACTTTTTTTGCATTTTAATCGAAATTTCTCAACTCAAATCTGTTGAAATTGATCGATTACTACAGAAAACGATTAAAGTTACAATTATACGTTAATTCATACATACATTGAGCTATTCAGAAGCCAGCGCTCACAGAGAGATGGCGCTGAAACCCCATTTTCCAGACGTACAATGGAATATTCTGGAAAAATGGTGATTCAATGATCAGTTTGACAGATCAACTAACAGTTCGACGATCTGACAGCTCTCTGTGTATGATTTCCAACAACTCATTCACATTAGAAATAAATATTCTAATATATAGTACACAAAAAATATTATACCAAATAAAAGTGGTCAAAACTAAAAAAAGTAAAGTGTAAGAGTGAATTGATTCAAAGTTACATTTCACATTGTTCATTGTGCAAAAATGTCGTGTCGCAATAAGAACTCGTTTTGCTATGTGTGTGCTTTATATACGCCAAGTGCTCATGCTCGCTCTATGACAAAAACATTTATTAGCGGCTTCGAGAAATATTTTCAAACTTTGTACGTGACAAAACCATATGCACCAGATATTGCTTGCGAAAACTGCTATCGTCGTTTAACTGCAGTTGATAACAACAAAGAAACAGAAGTTTTTAAAATTGTGCGGCAATCAATTTGGTTTGAAATTGATGAACACGAACCCGATGATTGCTATTTTTGTTTGACAAAGCCAAATTTCTTCGGTTTTAATTACAATCAACGAGAAAAGATTCAGTATGCAGTTTGCGAATCTGTTTTGCCTGCAAAAAATCGCTCAATTGAAATGCCGCAATCTCTGATGCAAATGGCAGAACAACAAAGAGAACTACAACGACAACTACAACAACAACAACAACAAACATATGATCCAATGGAACATTTTGACTACCCTGAAGCTGGTGGTGCTGCTACTTCTTCATATGTTCAAACTACCGGCTATACATCTGAGTATGTGGCATCTGACTTTGTTGGTATACACTTGGTAACT